CTGAGTGGGGATGTGGAATTTATTCACCGTCGAAGGTATTGATTACCGAAACGTATCACAAATACTTTTTTTTATTTTCTAAAATTATTGGGTGGGCAAACAGAGTGCAGACCAGATTAATGGGGGAGGGGCAAATGCCCGTAACTAAGGGGGCGCCCCCCTCGCCCCCCCCTTGCGCAAAAAGTCCCCCCCCCCCCGTGGAAAAATTGTCGACCATACAAAAAATAGACATACATTATCCGTCAATTTTACAGCACCCCTGAGAACACTTTCCGCCCCCCTCGTTGCTCTGAGCTAGTTACGGCCTTGGCGACTAGACACTATTCCTTACCAGTCCGCCATCCCGTCCCCGCACCCTGTGTCACTGACAAGGGAAAACACGTTGGAAATTCCCAAGGAACTTTGCTATGCGGGACCTCTTGTTTACACCCCCACCCCACCCCCCGTGAACCGACATGCTCTCTCAAGCCGGATGTTTACCAACCGACCGATCGAACCAATCGAACCGACCTTCAAACAAATTTCTTCCCGATCTATTTAGTCTACCAAGGCCTTACCCCCTGAATCATGGCTCTCAAGTCCGGATGTCATCTGACAGATCGAACCGACCTTCAAACAAATTTCTTCCCTTTCTATTTAGTGTACCAAGGCCTTACCCCCTGAATCATGGCACCCAAGCCGGATGTCATCTGACAGATCGAACCGACCTTCAAAAAGATTTCTTCCTGATCTATTCATATTACATGTAAACGTATATTTATGTTATAAAGTATATTATAATAGTAAACTAATGCTTAACGTGAAACATGATCGCCCTCCTTTCAATCAATGTTTATACACTCTCCTATTTTTTACATTAGGACATAATTTATCAGTCACGACATAAGCGCTGGGAAAAAAAGAAATTCTTCGTCACGGTTTCGATATTTTGATAGTCATTATGAAAAAAATTGCAGAGAAGCACGACCATGCACACGATTTTTTAGTCCCTTAAAGAATCCCCTATATTTTGTAATCAAGGAAAAACCCTTATAAGTGTATAAGAGCCACTTGGCCGGTGCATTCGTTCCTTGGTTGCGCTGAAAGACTAATAAAATAATTATTACAAGTTTAAGGTAACCAATTTTTGTTAAATCTATGTTTTTTAACCAACGGTCTGGTCACTATTCTGGTGGTGTTTGACCAAATAATAATCTTATTTCATTTATTTTCTTCAGATATTTTTATTTGATATTAAACTGGCTCAATGGCGCGTGCATTGTTTACTTAAAACGTTACTGATTCGAGCAGAATGGTGCCTTTTGCTCATTTTAATACCTATTTACACTAAAATAGGAAGTAATTTTTACCTACAAATACTTCAAACATCTTTATTTATTTTTCCAATACATAAAAAAATATGTTTTAGAATTTAATTTGTCGGGGGGAAAAAAGTTAATATTTGTGGCTCATTAAGTCGCATCGGTGTTATCCTTATCAGTGATTTTCGCGGCCTAGCGAATATTCACTGCGGATCAGTGTGGATAAAACCATGATTAAAACCACGATTTCAGTCGTAGCACGAATCGTAATAGTTGGAACCTAGCATTACATGTTTTGGCACTGGCTCAATAACCAGTGGATCTGGGATTGGACAGGGTGGATGGCCGGGCAAGGAACATTGTCTAGTTGTTCGGATAGGGCGAAAAAACGAGGTTCCGTATACACGTATGTTCATAAAAGAAACATTGACAGTTGTAATTCGAAATAAGAGTTGGCCGTATGGCGAATACCCATCTTTATTACCCCGGTTGGTGGTCGCCTATCTAACCTCGTGGGGTTTATCCGAGCCCTACGCGCAAGCGAAATATTAAAGTAAAATTAAACCATATGTTATTCCCGAAATAACCTAATTTGGTCGAGTGGACGTTAACCTCTCTCTCTCTCTCTCTCTCTCTCCGGTGCAGAAAGGCAGGATGTTAAACCCATTTCATTTTATTTAAAAGTTTTCTCACGATAATCTTTATTATATATATTATTATATACCGAGTATAATATTCATCTCTTACTATCAATGGTATAGGCGTGGTCCGTCACACACCTGTACTTGTACCTTATATTGTGGATTTCAATTTAAAGTAGCCGAACCCAATCGCCATTTGCTTTTATCGGCCAATAGAATAAAATGAAGTATTTATCCATAGAAATAGACACTGTATGTATTTCTATGATTTATCGAACAATGTCTAATTTTGACTGCTCAATCATCGCTAGAATATACCCATATTGATCATTTAGCGTTTTCATACGGAGAGAGAGAGAAATGGGGTTTAACGTCCACTCGACACAAACTAGGTCATTTCGGGACTAACATATGGTTGAATTTTATTTCAATAATTCGCTTGCGCGTAGGGGTCTTTAGCAGTGGGAGGAAACCGGAGAACCCGGAGAAAACCCACGAGGTTGGACAGGCGACCCTACTCCTTGTCACGTACAACCGGGGATTCGAAAACACGCCAGTCGACTCAATGACAGACTTTATGATACAGCGCGCGCACGCTAACCATTCAGCCATCCAACCCCCCATTTTCATAAGGAAATAACAACCATACCACACTGACATGTGGGGCTTGCTTGTTTATATCGCCCTCCCTGAATTTTCAATTCATAGGCGGATATCCCTACAGATATTTAAAGATACATTATGGGATATTACATAAAAAGCTGGCAGTTTTTACTATAATAGTTAAAAACTAGATAATGTAAAGGGAATATGCAGAAAAGTCGTTCAAATTGATCCACTATGAACCGAGAATTAAGCTATCGAAATTTCGATCATCATTACTAAAGTCGGTACCGTACGATAAAAAACATAGTATCGATTATCCAGTTGATGATTAAATCATGAATGAAAGTGGACAGCAAATCGGATCATAATCCAATAAATATCGCAGGCTAGCGTTGACATTCGAGAGTTGATTATGGTCTGGATACGTTTATTAATGTCTAATTAATATTTTAGATAACATTTCATGCCTAAAGAAAGACCTGCAATAGGCAGATTTAGCTCTTGCATAATGTATGTTTAACTGTCATAATAATTGCTTGTTTATTTCGTCTGTCCGTGAATGTTACGAAATTTTCAATTCATTATATAATTGAAACACTATTCTGGACTGATATGCCTTTAAAGTAGCTAAGTCTCTAACTGAATATGATCAAAAATCGTCGACATTGAAAACACGAATTATTTGTCAATACAAATAGACATTAATCTTGTGATCTTACAGGGGAAAAGATGGGCTTCTGATATCCAATATTCAAGACAAAATAAACATTTTACCATTGGTACATGAATCGTGTACCACAATCCATTTCAGCGCCATTTGGAACAAGGGAGTCAAAGAACAAGGCTAGACAATATTCCACACGTCATGTCAAATGGTGACGCTATATTCTTATATTGAGCCCATACGCAATAAATACCATCGGTGTTTTCTGGAATAACCAGACGCTAAAGATTGTCATTCAATTGAGACTTCTGGCGTATTTCGCCGAACATAACTGATTAGAAATTACAGTAAAAACAGAAACGATTGAATGTAAATCGGTTTATATACATTCATATTACATTATTATATGCATTGCGACCCATTTGTGTCAATTTTTAGCTCCTTTAAGATATTTAACTGTTATAATAATCATTGCAGTTCAACTGGCACCGATTAACTTTTTCTAGGCCACGCATCATCTGCTGCAGGACTTGAGACTTTTAGTGGCACCGAAGAAATCATGTAACTCCAAATAAAAAAAAAAGATTTTTCGAAATGAAACAATCAACCATAATCTAGATTTGCTACTTAGTGAATCGGTTGAAATATCGGATCCCAAATTCAAAAAGCATTCCCAGGTTTAAGTTAAGATATACTGTTCACAAAAAATTGCTTTGATCATTTAGTAGGTTGTTTTCTAGAATGATTTGATTAAAGTGCCTCTCTGATTTAGAAATCGTATTGACGTTTACTCAACTTTCAACCACTGTTTGTGGGAAATATCTTTGCTCTAGAAACACAAACCTTTGTATACAGTTTCGCATTGATGTATTTGATACATTAAAACAACGCAAGTTTTATAAAGGAATGTATTTGAGTTAAAATAAGGCAAACAATTTTGAGTAAATTCTTAATTCCGAGAACGCTTTGGAAACTTGAGCCCAGATGTATGGTTATTCAGTGAGTAAGGCCCTGGCTTGCTAACCAAGAGGTTTCGGGTTTACTCCCGCTGTTGACCGGGATTGATCCTCGAGTTTTCCGTCGCCGTGTTCGCCCTTGTCAGTGGTGCAGGACGGAGGGTCTGGCAATGAGGGTGCTGTGTATTATCGGACCAAACCGTGATCCCGTGTACACATTGGCATGCACGGAAAAGAACCATTGAGAGTTGGCCACAACGCCGCTGTTCCAGAAACAATTACCCTTTAAAACATTATGTGGCGCATAGCCGTCTTCATAGCCTAGTAGGACATTAAACCCTCATTTCATTTTGATTTATAAAGTTTTTTTTTATTGCGGGGCCTCTTTTTTTTTACTGGTTCTGTATTCAGCGGCACCAATCTGATTAAAATACAGATCTACATTTCGTTTCGTTTTTATACTTTCGATGGCCTGCACTACATGAAGATTTGACCGGTTGTAGTCGAAGGTCGCGTCAGAGGTCATACGAACGACTTTTTACCCTATGCCGTCAGCCATTTGATTAATCAATCAGTATTGATGTTTCTAGTGGGTTACCCACATTTCCAGGCACCTCACGCCAAAAACTCGCCGTAACAGACCGTTTCATTGGCTAATCCCTCAGATCATCCAGAACGCGGGTTATATAACAACTCTTCCATATCCTAGTGTAATAAAGACAAGTAAAACGAAATTTTGAACTATAAGAGACGAAACGAAACAGGATTTGTGGTTTAATCAAATTGCGGCTGCAGCATCTACACAATTTACACTCTTTTATTTTGTTTTCAGTGACGACGCCGGGTGATTTAAGGAAATGAAGCCTCATCTGTATCTATCACCATGGTTACCTAGAATAATGTTACTACATCTTTGTACCCTCCTAACTGTCCAGGCCGTGGTTCCAGGTTTAACTAGTACGCCAAAAACTATCAACGAGCCCTTATTGGATGTACCTAAACCATCGTGTTCTGGCGTTCCAAGTGATTTCTGTAAGAATAACGGCACGTGTCGGGAACCACGTGATGATGAATTGTGGGAATGTAGCGGGGACGCTGGAATAGGTCCTTTAAAATGTGACTGTCCCACTGGATTCACAGGTAAATAAGTATTTTTCTTATTTCTGTCTGAACAATTACGCCCTATGTCTACGTCATCTGGCCGGTTATTTCGGATATTCATATTACATAATTATCTCCCCAATCTGGTTTGGAGCCACGGTGACTAAGTCATTAAGACGCTGGCTCGCTAACCCGGAAGTCGCGTGTTCAATCCCTGCATTAGCCGAGAAAGTTCATCGGGATTTTCCGGGGTGGTTTCCCCTTGTCAGTGGTGCAGGACGGAGGGGCTGACAAGGACAGCAGTCTAATCGTTCGGGACGTGAACCCCTTTTGCTTTGAAATACAAGTGGGGCGAGTACCTAAATATGCTGCTTCCCATCTGTTAAATAGCACCAAAAGCGCATTTGCCCAATTAATTACTGTACAAAAAATCCCTGGGTCTAGTGTTATTTTTAACAGGGTATTAAATCAAATTTATTAGATTCACTTTATTCTTAGATATTACAATATCTTTCTGAAACACTTTGCGTAAAAGCAGAGCTTGTAGATTCTGTAATATTAATTAAAGATACATGTACATTGTACATTATATAAGATTCTTGTTATAATAGTTCGGAAATAGATAATGTAAAATGGATAATTTGAAAATTTCATTCAAATTACTCTATTGTGAGCGAAGATAATAGCTTTTGAAGGTTTGACAAGACCTTTCAATAATTGCAACCACCGTACTGGTTGTTCGAAGCTAAGTCTCGCTCCTCCTTTTAAATTAAATCAAAATATGGCTGAACCGTTCTAATCTATTTAATATCGGAGAAATCAGACGCCATTGAGAGTTGATTACGGCCTGGATCAGTTAATTAGTGTCTAATTAATAGTTTATATAACATTTCAGGCCTAAAGAGAGGCCTACAATAGGCAGATTTAGCTCTTGCATAATGTATGTTTAAATAAAATGATAATTGTGTGTTTCAGGTAGCAGATGCGAAACGAAGTTGTCCTGTGTTGATCTCTCGTGTAAAAAGGGTGAAATATGTGATTTTAATTGGAGTAAACAGCAACTGGAATGTATACCCTTAAATACATGTAAATATAAATAATCCATATTCTACATTGCATACATGTAGATATAACTAATCTACATTTGATACATGTAAATATAAATAATCCATTTTCTACAGTACATACATGCAAATATAACTAATCTGAATTAAATACATTACATAAATGCAAATATAACTAGCCTGAATTAAATACATGCAAATATAACTATTCTACATTAAATATAAATACATGCAAATATAACTAATCTACATTAATACATGTAAAGATAACTAATCTACATTAAATACATGTAAATATAACTAATCTACATTAAATACATGCAAATATAACTAATCTACATTAAATACATGTAAATATAACTAATCTACATTAATACATGTAAATATAACTAATCTACATTAAATACATGTAAATATAACTAATCTACATTAAATAAATGTAAATATAACTAATCTACATTAAATACATGCAAATATAACTAATCGTCATTAAATACATGTAAATATAACTAATCTTCATTAATACATGTAAATATAACTAATCTACATTAATACATGTAAATATAACTAATCTATATTAGATACATGTAAATATAACTAATCTACATTAAATACATGCAAATATAACTAATCGTCATTAAATACATGTAAATATAACTAATCTATATTAATACATGTAAATATAACTAATCTATATTAGATACATGTAAATATAACTAATCTACATTAAATATATGTAGATATAACTAATCTATATTCTACATTAAATACATGTAAATATAACTAATCTACCTGCTCAGTGAGTAAGTCGCGACGGGTATACATTATAATTGTGTTCCGCACTGACTGGGCAAATAAAGACGGGCATACGCAATATTGTGTGTCATGAGAGATATGTTGTCCGGACAGCGGTACTACGACTTAATCTAATTTCGAATTCCATCTGCCAAGGGTTATTTTACATGGACGTCAGCGTGTATACGGGACCTCTGGCTTTGCGTCCACACTGTCTTTGCCAGGCCCTCCGTCCTGCACCACTGAGCCAGTGCCTTACTGTTCTGCTCCGACTGGGCTAATGAAGACGGGCATACGCCATACAGTGTACTATGAGGGAAAGTTTACCCGGGCAGCGGCACTATGGCCTACTCTTATATCCAATTGCAACTGCTAAGGGATCTTTTACGTCCACGCCAATGTATACACGGGACCTCGATTTTTTGCCCCATCTGAACGATTAGACAGCTGGCCTGGTCAGATCCTCCTTTCTGCACCGTCGACAAGGGAGCAACCACGTCAGAAAATCTCGATGAACTTTCTCGCCCAATGCAGGGATCGAAAACCTCCAGACTAGCGAGTCGGCGTCTTATCAACTTAGCCACCGTGGCTCCCAACTGAAGAGAGTACTATAACTGTTTATCTGTTTCAGCTGGTCAGTTACCGACATGTAAACCGGGAATACATGATATAGAGTTTAAATATGACAAAGTTAATATCCAGAAATCTATCGTATGTTTCCCCATGTACGAATTTGATTCATCATCCCTATGTTCCGATCCAGATGATTCTCTGACGTATCTACTCGCCCAGGGCCCACCAGAGTTACCGGACCTGTTCTGTCTTGTTGTGGATTATCAGTATTATCGAACTTGTCTCCGAGTCAACGCCACCCATCGTGATAGAATAACCATGACAGACGCTAGGGTAAGTTTAACTGATGTATATTATGAACAGCTGTACCGTGTGGGAAGGGCTTGAGTTCTTCTTCCATATGTGTTCAACGTACGCTTCAACACCACTAGATGAAGGACTTAAGCCCTCCCCACACTGTACAACTTTTCAGAATAAAGGCAATTAGTAACCCCTTTCCGAACTGATCTAGTGGTGTTGAAGCGTACGTTGAATACATATGGAAGAAGAACTCAAGCCCTTCCCACACGGTACAGCTGTTCATAATATCCGAGAATCAGTTAGGAAAGGAGTTACTAATTGCCATTATGCTGAAAAGTTTCACTGTGTGGGGAGGGTTTGAGTCCTTCATCTAGTGGTGTTGAAGCGTACGTTGAACACTAATGGAAGAAGAACTCAAGCTCTCCCCACACAGTACAGCTTTTCATAATATCCGAGAATCAGTTCGGAAAGGGGTTTCAGTATATTATCTTAATGTACAATACAATTATATAAAGGGCCGTAGCAAATGACATAGGCTATGACGGATGTGGAAGGGATATTGGCCATGGGGGGTTGTAGCAAGAATTATGGACTATGAAGGGCTGCAAACAAGTGATTTGGGCTATGGAAGGTTGCAGCAACTTTAACCCTTCCCGGACAGTGTTGTCTTTATTAAAACAGGTAAATGTGCGACATTTCGACGGTCATTTGTATTACAGGCTTTCAGTGATTTGCTTTAGAGGCTTTTATTGGTCAGACGATTATGGTTGGTAACCAATCAGCAGACAAATAAATGATATTGACCCACGATTTGTTAAAATGAAAGGGGCTACTCGATTGAACGTTCTGGAATTGAATTCTCTCAATTACCAAAAATAGTGACAATCGGGTGAAGGGGGTATTTCGGGCTATATAGCATGCACCGAATGCACAAGAAAATATCTTAACTAACCATGACAGCTGAAACATTTGCGCTGTGCTTAATTACGTCATGATTCTACTCACACCTCCATGTCGGGACTGACGGAACTGTGACAGGACTGAATTCCGAGTCACTCATCTGCAATTCTGTCAGTTCGGAACGTTCTGGACTGGTCATTGAGCACCCCCAAAGTATTCAATTTTCTCCTACATTTGGATGATTTGTGAGAGATATTTTGGACAAAGAGAGTTTTATAGATTCAAACAAGCGTAAAATGCCAATTCCCTCTGTTTTCAGGTAGATGTGTTTGCAGAAGAATATTCAGTATTAGAGAGAAAAGCCCGTTTACAGTTAAATATCATCTTCAACAAACCACCGGTTGTCAGCAAACCTATCGTCAGCTGGATTGTTAACTCAGCAGAGTTACGCCCCTTTGATGTCATAAGCGAAGCAGGTGTCACGAGCTCATTTGATCTGACACCTGGAGAAGTTTGTAAGTTTGAACGAATCGAAGAATAAACGACTCTGCAGGTTTCATTTTGGAATTTGTTGCATAAACATATGGGAGTACAAGACTAAGCTCTTCCAGATGAAATCTGATTAAAATACAGATCTATATTTCGTTTCGTTTTTTTATACTTTCGATGGCCTACGGTACACTACATGAAGATCTGACCAGAGGTCATACGAGCTGCTTTTAACCCTATGACGCTAGACATTTGATTAACCAATCAGCATTGATGTTTCTAGTGAATTACCCACAGTTCCATGCACCACACGCCAGTAGCTCGCCGTAACAGGCCGTTTCATTGGCTAATCCCTCACATCCAGAACATGTCAATGATAACAATACTTCCAGATCCTAGTGTAGTAAAGACAAGTAAAATGAAATTTTAAACTATAAAAAACAAAACGAAATAGGATCCGTGTTTTAATCAAATTGTTCCAGATGAAACAAAATTGAATTTAAAAAAATTTGGTTCGATATCTTACTTTTCTAACCAGACGTACGCCATCTTATCTACGGTCAAGTTTAGCCACTACCCTATACTACTTGTACCCAGGTGTAACGCCTTTGGATAGAGCATGGGGGGTGGGGGGGGGTTGGATGGCTTGAGCATATGAATGGTTATTAAAGGAGCTAAAGCTCTGTTCTTTGGCAACTGGAAATGGGCACAAATGGGTCGCAACGCATATAATAATATAATATGAATGCATATATACTGATTTACATTCAATCCATTCTGCTTTTACCGTGTAATTTCTAATCAGTTATGTTCGGTGAAAACGCGAAGAGACCAAAATGAATGGCAGACGTTAACGTCTGGTTATTCCAGCCTTCATCGACAGTATTCTCATGTGGGACAGTCGTTTCATTACAAATGACCCTCGAAAGCATTCTCCCACGCGATTCGTGTGCCAATTTTAAAATTTTCATTTTGTCTTAAATATTGGATATCCGAAGCCTATCTTTTCGCGGTAAGATAACAACACCAATGTTGATTTAAATTGACCAATGAGTCGTGTTTGCAATGTGTAAGACTGTGGATGATATTAAGTTAGCGACTTGCCTCCTTTAACACCAACCCCTGGACACTACACATTGACGGGCACGTAAAAGAACCGTTGACAGAATTCGAAATAAGGGTAGGCCATAGCGCTGCTGCCCGGGCAAAATTTTCAACATAGAACACTTCATGGCAGATGCCCGTCTTCTCTTATTTCAAATTTCAACTGTCAAGGGTTCTTTTACGTGCATATCTTGTTTTTTTCCCATTCCATCAGAATGACTAGACACCGCCCTTGTCTAGCCGTCCGCCCTGCTCCATTGTCAAGTGCACACGAAACACAAAATGACTGGCCACTAATTCGCACTTGTTGTTTTTTTTGTTCTAGATACAATAGGTTCGACAGCATTGGTGCCATTTATCAATCCCACCGGGCAGTTGGAACTTACCCCACAGACGACCATCTTGGATTTAAAACGACTACAGGTTATAGTTCAGGTAGGAGATTGACTAGTTCATTATTAGAGACGGATTGTTTCAATAGGGATCTTTCGCATCGGTACGAAAACATATATGAAGACGAAAACGTCATCGATTCGTGTGTCGACCCGTAATGAGTGTTCGGCCGGTGAAAACGGTACGCGTGTGGAGAAAGATTCACGTAGGTATGCAAACGAAAATGTTTCTTGTCTCATATATTGAATCTTCCACAATTGTTCGAGGCCTTGTGTGTATTGTTGATTGTGTAGAGTTTGTAGAATGTGCTCAAATGCAATATTCTGCTTGACTTGTTGTACATCTGCTAAAAAACGATTGAAAACTTTGCCTGGACAGAGAAGTTCATGGAGTGGAAATTAATGCCGTCTATCTCGTACCGTACGTCGGATTGCGAAACCGCGTAATGGAGGATACGAAAACGAAAGCGAAAACGTAAACGAACGTATGTTCGTTTTGGTGTTCGTTTTCGTACCGATGCGAAAGGTCTCTATTGACACGGGGATCACGGTGGCTAAGTGGGTAAGGCGCTGGCTCGCTAGCCTGGAGGTCGGGTGTTCGATCCTTGCATTGGCCGAGAAAGTTCATCCCGATTTTCCGGCGTGGTTCCCCCTTGTCAGTGATGCAGGACGGAGGGCCTGACAAGGACAGCTGTCTAGTCATTCGGATGAGACGAAAAACCGAAGTCCCGTGTACACATTGGAGTGCACGTAAAAGATCCCTTGACAGTTGGAATTCGATATAAGAGTAGGCCGTGGTGCCGCTGTCCGGGCAAAATTTCCCTCACAGGACACTGTATGGCGTATGCCCGTCTTCATTAGCCCATTATAGGAGCAAAACAGTAGGACGTTAAACCCCATTTCATTTCATTTCATTTTTCTATTGACACTTAGTAATCGAACTGGACAGGAAACCATTGAACATTAGGATTATTTAAACAAACATTATTATTATTATTATTATTATTATGTCTAGTGTAGGTTTCTCATTAGGCCTTAAAGGGCCAATCTCGATTATATTTTGGAGATAAAATTTCATACATACACGGAACTTTTATTTCTGAGACTATGTTAAAATCGGGATGGTCCCTTTAAATATTATACAAATTATAACTTAGATATAATTATAGTGTTCATCGGCATTTTCCGGCGTAGTTTCCCCTGGTCAGTGGCGCAGGACGAAGGGCCTGACAAGGACAGCTGTCTGGTCGTTCGGATAGGAGGAAAAATCAAGGTACCGTGTACACACTGGCGTGCATGTAAAAGATCCCTTGGCAGTTGGAATTCGATATAAGAGTACATGGTAGCGCCACTGTCCGGGCCAAATGTCCCTTATAGCACCCGCCTTCATCAGCCCACTCGGGCCATACAGTAGGATGTAAAACCCATTTCATTTCATTTCAGTAATTGGCCTAATGCATCTTTAAGGCCGATGCGACTCAACACGACCGATTCATTGAATTTTGTTTTTTTAGGTAACTGATGACGGAATACCAAGTTTATCGTCCAATGTAACGGTACAGGTTACTGTAGCAACATTGAGCTGTCAAACACAGGGGCAAATAACGGTAGATATCCGAGATTTAAACAGTTTGACGTCATCAACGCCAGCTATTACTATTGGTCAGATAGATTGCACGTCATCAACGGGATATCAGCTGGATTACACACTGCTCAACAATCCGTTTTTAGGTAACATAAGTATACGAAACCTTATTCACTAAACAGGGCCCTGTTTCTCGAAATCGTAACTAAAGATAAAATCCCAATTTTAATAGATACATATATTTCCATTTTGATTGGTTAAGCACTAAAATCAATCTAATATTATCCAATCAAATTACTAAAATTTGGATTTTATCTTAGTTAGAATTTCGTGAAACAGACCCCAGAACCGGATTAAGATTTGTTTTTACGTCTGAATAAAACTTATTAGTACTATTAGTACTTAGTACTATTAGTACTGAGTATACGGCCAGAAACCAATTCCTCATACAGTACATATTCATTGAACTCTTGTGCTTTGATCTCTGAAGGCAACCAATCTGTAGAAGGTGATTGGACCGCGATCCCTAAAGTCTACAGCTTAGTGTCAACCTTTCTGGAGGAGAATCATTCATGGACAGTGGCATTTTCCGCAACGTGTATGCATCGACCAATGTTTTACTAGCTTCGTTGTTTGTTTATTCAAAATAAACCGAGATAGCATTGTGGAGGAAACGTGATATTGATATATGTATTTTGTTTCTGTGCAGGTTTGACAGTAAGTTTATTAGAAGGAGGTATACAACTATCACGAAATGGTGACACCTCTATCAATAGTCAAACACAATCCGTAGATGCTACTATTTCTATGCAACGTTTTCCACGTGTTACTTCTGATGTCACATTCACTATTCAAATTGGTGAGTAGTTATCGCTTTTTTTCAATCCCCCGCAAAGAATCAATCTGATTATTATACAGATCCCATTTCGTTTCGTTTTTTATAGTTCATAATTTCGTTTTACTTGTCTTTACTACACTGATTAAAATACAGATCACATTTCGTTTCGTTTTTTATAGTTCATAATTTCATTTTACTTGTCTTCACTACACTAGGCTCTGAAATAGTTGTTAAGTAACTCGTGTTCAGGTTGATGTAATGGATTAGCCAATCAAATGATGTGTTGGGTCAAGTTCTTGTCATCTAGGACGAGGAACTGTGAGTGACATTGGCCGCGATAGAAAACAAATCAAAACAAAAGTAGTATCTCTTAATACCCACTAAAAACACAGACGCTGATACGTTGATTGAGTAACTAACGTCATGGTGTCAAAAGACGCCCTTATGACCCCTGGCGCGATCTCCGACTACAACCGGTCAGATCTGCATGTAGTGGATGCCATCGAAAGTATAAAAACAACGAATCGAAATATAGATATGTATTTTAATGAGATTGTCATTGAATTTAAATTGCCATATACAGCCGCTGTCAGACGTACAAGAGTGGCCCTTGAACGGAACGGAGTCCATATCCCACTGACGTCGGCATGCGCAGAGCGCCAATCATGTCAAGATGGCACTGTGAGTGTGGCGTTAGCTAACTAGCCAGACGGCCCAGGGCTCGACCCCGATGCCGGCCAAAACAATTGCTCTGAGGAAAAGCGTAGAGTCATTCGGATCGCACAAAAAACGATGTCCTGCGATGTAAAAAGAACTCTTGACAGTTGAAAAACGCTACCGTCGGGCAAATAGTCCTTCATAGCTAGCATACTACAGGGCATGTCTAGTTGGAAATTAATGAGATGGGGTTTAACATCCTACTGTTCTGCTACGACTGGGCTAATGAAGACGGGAATACAGCATACATCGTGCAATGGGTGACATGTTTCTCGGGTAGCGGCTCTACGCCCAATTCTTATATCTAATTCAAACGCCATACAGTATGCTATGAAGGACATTTTGCCTGGACAGCGGCGGTACGGCCTACTCGAATTCTAAGGGATCTTTCACGTTCACGCCAATGTGTACACGGGACCTGGGTTTTTCGTCCCACCAGAACCACTGACAAGGGGGAAACCACCCGGAAAATCACGATGAACATTCTCAGCCAACACTGGCAGTGAACTTGTGACCTCCAGGCTAGCGAGCAAGCGTCTTACTCACTTAGCCACCGTGGCTCGGTGTCCGGTTGGTACATTTGTGTCTTTTCTTCTTTGTAGGTTATCTCTCATTGGTTTGGTTTAAACTGACCAATATTACCTGGAACAAGGAATATACCAACACAAGCAGCAACAGTTATATAACTTTAAAACAAAGGGTCGAAACGGAGGTTAGTCTTGTTATGCTGAACAAAGAATAATAATTGTTTCTCTTGATTTAAGAGAGAGAGAGAGAGAGAGAGAGAGAGAGAGAGAGAGGGTCATTTCTGGACAATTCGCTTGCGCGCATGGTCTTTAGCAGTGGGAGGAACCCGGAGGACCCGCTGAAAACCCACTAGACTGGACAGGCGACCCTACTCCTTGTGACGTACAACCGGGAAATCGCAACCACGCCAGTTCACTCAATGACAGACCTTATGATACAACGCACACGCGCTAACCATTCAGCCATCCAACTCCCCCTAACCAGAAGGTCCGGGGTTCGATCCCATTATTGGTCGAGAAAGCTCCCTGGGAATTTCTAGCGTGCTTTCAATCAGACCACTGACAGTTGGAATTCAATGTATGGGTTGACCATAGTGCCGCTGTCCGAGCAAAATTTCGATCATTGCACATTGTAGGACGCCATCTTCATTGGCCCTATCGATGCAGTAGGACATTAAACCTCATTTTATGTGTGTTTTCTACAGGTTGGTTTTCTATGTAGATGACTAAATTAAAATTATAGTATGTTATACTCAATGCAGGAATGAAATGGGGTTTAACGTCCTACTGTTGTGCTCCGACTTGGCTAATGAAGAGGGGCATACGCCATACAGTGTGCTATGAGGGAAATTTTGCCCGGACAGCGGCACTGTGGCCTACTTTCATATTGAATTCCCACTACCAAGGGATTATTTACGTGCACGCTAATGTATACACGGAACCTCGGTTCTTCGTCCCATCCGTCCTGCACCACTGACAAGGGGAAACCACGTCGGAAAATCCCGATGAAATGAAATGAAATGAAATGGAGTTTAACGTCCTACTTTTCTGCTCCTAACCTGGGCTAACCAATGCAGGGATCGAACACCCGACCTCCAGGCTAGCGAGCTAAATCCCGATGAACTTTCTCTGTCAATGCAGGGATCGAACCTGCGTCCTAAACGTATATATCAAATCAGGTGAATGGATCCAGGAGCTAGCCGTAACTCGAATTAAACGTAGACCTTTGCAGCAATATTATGGCCAAATTTCCTAAACGTGTTCAACTACATGTCATAGTACTACTACTGACGACTGACTTAACAGTGTGCGCATACAATCTGATTAAAATGAGTGAGAGAGAGAGAGAGAGAGAGAGAGAAATTGGGTATATCTTCCACTCGACACAAACTAGGTCATTTCGGGACTAACATGTGGTTCAATTTTATTTCCATAATTCGCTTGCGCGTAGGGGTCTTTAGCAGTGGGAGGAAACCGGAGGACCCGGAGAAAACCCACGAGGTTGGACAGGCCACCCTTCTCCTTGTCACGTACAACTGGGGATTTGAAACCACGCCAGTTAACCCAATGACAGACTTACTGATACAGCGCGCACGTGCTAACCACTAAGCCCCCCCCCCTCTGATTAAAATGTAGGTACTATTTAGTTTCTTACTTGCCTTTACTACACTACGATCTGGAAGAGTTGTTATATAACCCGTGTCTGGTTGATGTGAGGGATTAGCCAATGAAACGATCTGTTGCAGCGATTTCTTGGCGTGAGATGTATGGAACTGTGGGTATTCCACTAGAAACATCAACGCTGATTGGTTAATCAAATGTCTGACATCATAGGGTCAAAGGCCGCCCGTATGGCCTCTGACGCGACCTCCCACTACAACTGGTCAGCTCTTCATGTATAAAAAAATGAAACGAAATATAGATGTGTATTTTGATCTGATTGGCCCACTCGAATATTGGGTTAGAATCACCGCTTGTTATGCATATGGTTGATGTATGTTAAGATTTATAATTGACTTGTTACAGATTGTCAAGCTTATCAACAATACTCGAGTGGAGGTTCGTGTCATTCAGTTCCGGTAAGTCTTTAATTTTATCGGGGGACACGATGGCCAAGTGGGTAAGACGCTGAATCGCTAGCCTGGATGTCGTTTGTTCGATCCCTGCATTGGGCGAGAAAGTTTATCTAGATTTTCCGGCATGGTTCCTCTTGTCAGTGATGCAGGACGGAGGGCCTGACAAGGACAGCTGTCTAGTCGTTCGGATGTGACGAAAAACTGAGGTCCCGTGTACACATTGGCGTGCACGTAAAAGATCCCTTGACAGATGGAATTCAAAATAAGAGTAGGCCGTAGTGCCGCTGCCCGGGCAAAATTTCCCTCATAGCACACTGTATGGCGTACATGCCCGTCTTCATTAGCCCAGTTCGGAGCAGAACAGTAGGACGTTAAACCCCATTTCATTTTATTTCTTTAATTTTATCAATTACTATCTTATTTTAGAAGGTATACACCCCTCCTCCCACGCCATCATTCTCCCCGTCCGCCGCCCCGCCCCCTTCTTTCCCCTTTCCTACCCCGCGCTTCATCTTTCCCCAGCCCCCCCCCTTCCCACCCCGTCTCTCGCTCTCGCTCTCCCTCTACCCACCCCGCCCCTTTTTCTCAGGACATGATTCACAATATGAGAAAAATGATTGTTTGCTTTTCAGACCTGATTTTTGGGTTGATGTTGTAGTTGAATCAATTAATGAAACACTGTTGAATCAGAAGAGTAAAATGGTGGTTGATGAAGCTAAAACTGGTTTGATAGGAACCCTGAAAATAAACAAGACAGCTGTATATAACGCAACCGGAAGTAAATCTTGTCTATCTATATAAATAGAATCAATTAAAGATGAAATGAAAAAAATGAAATGAAATGGAGTTTAACGTCCTACTGTTCTGCTCCTACACTGGGCTAATGAAGACGGGCATACGCCATACAGTGTGCTGTGAGGGAAATTTTGCCCGGACAGCGGCACTACGGCCTACTCTTATATCGAATTCCCACTGCCAAGGGATCTTTTACGTGCACGCCAATGTGTACACGGGACCTCGGTTTTTCGTCCCATTCGAACGACTAGACAGCTTTCCTTGTCAGCCCCTCCTTCCTGCATCACTGACACGGGAGAACCACGCCGGAAAATCTGGATGAACTTTCTCGGCCAATGCAGGGATCGAACACCCGACCTCCAGGCTAGCGAGCTAGCGTCTTACCCACTTAGCCACGTGATCCCCTCAATTAAAGATGTCGGTGTGTGTGTATGTGTGTATGTTAGCCCATCACCTTTAGTCACGCCCCCCCACACCCACAGTCACACCCACACCTACACATATATGTGGTATCAAATTAATCAGCAGGACCCATTGAATCGTTAAGGCCATCGAATTGGGCATAGAATCAAAGATGTATGTGTGTGTATGTTAGCCCATCATGCGTCGTCGCCGATATTTCAATAAACTTTAATTTAATTTTACTCTTTAATCTGATGCACCCCACTCCCTTGGACTGAACCAGGAGCCCCCCCCCCCCGCTCTTCGTAGAACGATAGACCGAAGACGTCTATTCTAGCACAATAAATGGCGTCATATATGGATTGTGGGTTAGTGCAAGGTTTAGGGCTAGGTTTAGGTGTTTACATCCCGAGACCTTGACGAAATCTGCAGCCCTTACCCTAACCCACACTTCACATATGACGTCATATGTGCTCTACCGTCTCCGATACAGACCCCCTCCCCCCTCCCCAACACCTCTCTGCATACTCCCTGCACGCCACTGTTTCTTTTTAATTAATATGGCTTCTTGTCGGTTAAAATGAATAAACAATGTATAAAGATGACAATCAAACATTATGACATAACTTTATTATAGGCAGTCATCTATTTAAACCGGCAGTGGATTTTGTTACGAACTTTACCACTAGCATCTACTTCCTGGAAGAGACACGAGTAGTGGTTGTATGTTCCGTAGATTATATCAACCCTACTGGCGGTGTTGACGTCGATTGGACGCTAGATGGCGCTAAGGTTCGACCCCTGAGCACCTCTCGATTCCAGGTATCTACCCAACAGATGTTACCATGGAGAATTAGAAGCACTTTAACAATTAGCAACGTGAAGAGAATAGATACAGGTAAGTATGTTAGTCATTGATATATAAAAACATACCTGTAACAAATAGTGGCACTAATTGGGTCATGTATAGCAAATTCCCCGAAAACAGCCAATCAAAACACACCACTCTACCCATCCGTTAAGACTTTAAAGGGGAAGACCAACGATTTTCAATAAGGTTTCCATAAATAATAAATATATATTTAGAAATAATCCCTCCTATAACATATGCAAAAAATAATTTGCAAGCCAGAAATTAATTTTTATTAATACCGGAAGTGTCGTAGTTGGTTCGACACGCTCACTGGTCACTATAGTAAACATACAAATTTGGAGCAAGTTTAGCGCTGTATTTTGTGATCGTTTCGCCGTTTGGCAGAAAATCTGATGAAAGGTAATCTTTATTAGGATATTAAGAACAAGAACTTACGGTGTTTTGAAGGTATAATATACAACGCGTTTGTGTAAATTAAGTTTCTAAACTGGACACTGTGACACAATTTAAGCCACATGGCTAATTGTTTACATCACGTGATAGCTGGCACGTGACAGATATTAACCGAACACAAATTGGCGACCTATTCGGCTAGCGACCTATTTGACCGATCCAGCTGGCAACCTGTTCGTTGGCAACCTATGTCTTAATTATCCCAGATTGGGAAGAACAGTAGACGTTAAACCCCAATTCATTTCATTTCATTAGTTAGTGAGCCGGGGATCACGTGGCTAAGTGGGTAAGACGCTAGCTCGCTAGGCTGGAGGTCGGGTGTTCGATCCCTGCATTGGCCGAGAAAGTTCATCCAGATTTTCCGGCGTGGTTCTCCCTTGTCAGTGATGCAGGACGGAGGGGCTGACAAGGAAAGCTGTCTAGTCATTCGGATGGGACGAAAAACCGAGGTCCCGTGTACACATTGGCGTGCACGTAAAAGATCCCTTGGCAGTTGGAATTCGATATAAGAGTAGGTCGTAGTGCCGCTGTCCGGGCAAAATTTCCCTCATAGCACACTGTATGGCGTATGCCCGTCTTCATTAGCCCAGGTTAGGAGCAGAACAGTAGGACGTTAAAGTCCATTTCATTTCATTTCATTTCTGTTAGTGAGTCAGCTCCGTATCCATCGAGCCACTTGGGCTCCTTTGAATTTTACTCAATCTGATTAAAATACAGATCTATATTTCGTTTAATTTTTATACTTTCGATGAAGATCTGACAAGTTGTACTCGAAGGTCGTGTCAGGGGTCGTACGCGCAGCTGTTGACCCGATGATCTCAGACATTGATTAATCAATCAGCGTTGGCGTTTCTAGTGGTTTACCCACAGTTCCGTGCATGGCACGCCAAGAACTCGCCATAATAGACTGTTTAATTGGTTTATCCCCCACTTCAACCAAAACACCGGTAATATAATAACTCTTCCAGATCCTAGTGTATTAAAGACAAGTAAAACAAAATTTTGAACTATAAAAAAACGAAACGAAATAAGATCTGTGTTTTAATCAGATTGGATTTTAATAGAAACTTTGTACTTTTTTTTAAACTATAAAACCAGTTCGGGTTAGCTTCTGCGTTGCCTGGAAATGATGTTTTGCTAAATTACCGACTGTTCTATTTCATTTTATTTATAGGTGAACTATCATGTCGTGCACGTGATGTAGCGGGTCGGATCGCTCACACAGAAACACGATTAGAAGTTTTATCTCCCCCTGTGGTTCGGATTGTACCCAATACACCCGCTATATTTGTTCAGACGGGCACAGAGATAACGTTAACATGCGACGTCGCAACTCCAGGCGTTAAAACGTCTTTTACCTGGCAGAGTAGTGCAGAAAAAAAGGTCACAGCAGGTAAGTAGTAGTGCAGTCTATACAGTTTGTCTGTCTATATGTTCAGAGTCTGCCGCTACATTAGGGATGACATTTCAGCTAGACATCTGGTTAAATTCAATTTAATCTTTCAAAATTCAATTTAATCTGGTTAAACGCTATTCAATCTGATAAAACTCAATTTAATGTGGTTAAACTCAATTTAATGTGGTTAAACTTTATTTAATATGGTTAAATTCAATTTAATATGGTTAAATTCAATTTAATATGGTTAAATTCAATTTAATATGGTTAAACTTTATTTAATCTGATTTAACATTCCTTAATCTGGTTAGATTTGTTCTGCTCAAACTCTATTTAAACACAATCATATCTGGTTAAACTCAATTTAATGTGGGTAAACTCAATTTATTCTGGTTAAACTCAATTTATTCTGGTTAAACTCTATTTAATCTGATTTAACTTTGTTTAATCTGGTTAAAATGTATATAAGGTGGTTAAACTCAATTTGATCTGGTTAGATTTATTCTGCTCAAACTCTATTTAATCTGATTTAATTTTATTTGATCTGGTTAAACAAAATATGCAGTGGTTGAACTATATTTAAGTTGGTTAACTTAATTTAAGTTTGTAAAGTTCAATTTAACTTGGTTAAGCCAATTTATGGTTAAGCTCAAATTGAGCTTGTTACCTTTTTTTTAATGTTGTTAAACTCAATTTATAAGGAATTTGTAATCTTTAAATTGATTAAGAATTTGCCTATCTTTACAAACATGTTCTTCAGGTCAAAACATTACACTAACAATCAGCCAGGATACCAGTTTAACTTGTAATGGTACCAACGAAGCGGGTCAAGGTCAACCAAAGACAACCAAGATCCTCGTTATACCAGGTATTGTCAGCCATCTTATAGCCTATCTTCCAATCGGTATTACGATTACATTCCTAGAGTCGTGAATGTTGTTCTATTAGCAAAAGCAGGGACGCAATGCAAAAAACAAAAAAAACCTATTATAGAGGTCTTGACAAATAAAGAGGCACTTGAATCGCGTGAATTAGTCCCGAAATGACCTAGTTGTACTGAGAGGTCGCGTCAGGGGTCATACAAGCGGCTTTTGACCCTATGACATCAGACATTGATTAATCAATCAACGTTGACGTTTGTAGGGGTTTTACCCACAGTTCCGTGCCGGGCCGTAACATACCGTTTCATTGGTTAATTCCTCACATCAACTAGAACGTCACCTAGTGTTGTGAAGACAAGTAAAACGGAATTTTGAACAATAAAAAAACGAAACGAAATAGGATCTGTGTTTTAGTCAGATTGTAAATTAGCCTTTTTCCTGAAGAAATATGAATCATTCACAGAAAATTATAGTATAAATTTGTCAATCTTTATGAATTTTGGATATGGTTTGTAAAATATTTATATCTATAAAATATCTTTCCTTGTCGGTCACTTATTTTTGCCAATAATTTATTCTAGGTGAAGTCACATGTCCAACAGAGTCTGATTCTAGAAATACTCCATGGTTACAAACAACACCCGGTTTTACAGCTGAACACCCATGTCCTACTGGATATACAGGTATGATATAGTCACCAATATCCAGTAACTGCGTGATTGTCAATTAGTGTAATTATGATTTCGTTCCACTTTGCTTTTGGCAGAAATGGAAATGCCTGAAAAAAAATTCTTTGTCGGGTGCCAGTATACAGGGCTTCGGTACTCTACATATACCATGCTGCCGTTTTTGGTCCAAAATTTGTTTTTCATAAACATGTTTTTATATGTTTATGGCTCGACCAAGCGATTAAACGGAACGACATAACATTTAAGTTTTGTGTGCAAAGATCGATTTGGAGGTAGGCTACATTGAACATTCATGAATTTGTGGTATTGACTAACCAAAGGCTTACTAAATCCAAAATTTGATAAAAAAAAAAATTAAAAGCAATGATCATTGGGCAAACTCAACAAAATCAAAACAACAATTTACGCAGGTGACAAATTACATCCAACGTTTTTTTTTTAAAAAAAAAAGAATAAAATACGATTATTTTTTAAACTGTAGGAATAGCGTCACGTGTCTGTGATTCTGAAGGAAAGTGGGAAGAACCTAATTATGATTCGTGTATTCAAGATAAAGTCGTGGAAATACAAAACACGGTAAATGTAGAAATTTGTAGTCAATCTGATTAAAATACAGATCTATATTTCGTTTCGTTTTTTTTTACTTTCGATGGCCTGCACTACATGAAGATCTGAACGATTGTAGTGGAAGGTTGTGTCAGGGGGTCATAGGATCGGCTTTTGACCCTATGACGCCAGACAGTTGATTAACCAATCAGCGTTGATGTTTCTAGTGGGATACCCACAGTGGTGTGCACCATACGCCAAGAACTCGCTGTAACAGACCGTTTCATTGGCTAATCCCTCACAGCAACAAGAACGCGGCTCGTATAACAACTCTTCCAGATCCAAGTGTAGTAAAGACTGGTAAAACGAAATTTTAACTATAAAAAACGAAACGAAATAGGATCTGCGTTTTAATCAGATTGATTTATAGTTTAATATGTTTTATGGTTCCTAAATCATTTTTTCCGCTGACCCCTTTAATCGCACGGAACCCTTTAATCTCACGGAACCGCATATTCCGGAACCCAGAACAAACCCCGTCAGGTAATAAGGTCTACGCATTCAGATAGGACCAATACATAGTTCGGTTAACATGTAATGGCCATTTAGATAGGACCAATACATAGTTCGGTTAACATGTAATGGCACTATCAGGACGTTCTCAAGAAGTTCATGTAGATAAATTTCATGGGAAATAGATTTTAAATACATAAATTATCTGATGTTTGCTTATTCATTTCAGATAGCCAAATTAGAGGCAGGAGTATTTGTAGCCGAACCGGAAGAGCTGGTTGCTAACTTAACAGACATTGCAGAGCGCCCTCTCGAAAGGAATGAGATAATCACTATGACACGCGCAATATCCGCGCTAACAACAATTAAATCAAATATTAACTCTACAAGACGACAAGAAAACACGAAACAGTTCGCTATGGTAGGTAGAGGAGCTGTACCTTGTCAAAGACGTGTTTTGAAATATATGTGAACAACTAGAAACTCTGAACAATAACGATGATAAAAATATGTACATTTCAGATCTTTTTTGAGTGGTATTTAGTTTGGTGTATCGAAGCGTTCTACGGCGATACGCTCGTCTTTATCAAGCAAATGACATTTCGCCGATGATATTCTGTTCTTATCAAGCAAAAGACGAACGTATCATCGTCGAAACTCTGCATGTTAATAAACCAGTAATAGTTTTTAGTGTACAATTCAGATGTTATGATCGATGGCTGTGGGAGTTGGTGACCGGATGGATTATAAGGCATGTTATCTATGCTCCCCGGTTTCGGGAAAGGGGACGTAACATATAACGAAAAGTTGAAGAACACAGAATATCGGTAGGGGTCGCCCTATCACGAGCCCCTCTCCCATGCCCACTGCTAAATATCCCCGCACACAAATGAATTTTAATAATAAACATAACATGTACGCAATATTAAAATGTTTTTATTTTTCTTGTTGCAGCAATCACTTAATTTGGTTGGTAATCTGGTTGATTCAAAACATAATCTTACAGGTGTAGATTCAGAGGTAAAGTAATATTTATATTACTATGTAATCAGATGTTTAGTAATAATTATATTATCATGTAATCAATGGTATAGTAATATTTACATTATTATGTAATCAGTGGTATACTATTTATAGTATCATGTAATCAGTGGTATAGTAATATTTGTATTATTATGTAATCAGATGTTTAGTGATATTTATATTATCATGTAATCAGTGGTTAATTGTAATATTTATATTTTCACGTAATCACGGCTTTAGTGATATTTTTATTATCATGTAATTAGAATTTATATATACAGTAAAATCCAGCAGATCACAGGCGAGTTATCGATCATATTCAAATATTTAGTTTGTGTACTTTTCAGAATACTAGCGTATCTCTTTTGTTGCTTGATACCATGGATCAAGTTAGTTCTTTGTGGGGGAATACATTACCAGAAGGATCATCAGGAACCATTACAGCCAAGAATATAGGTAAGATAAACATATCATCTTTTACACCTTTAATACCACTAACTCTAACCCCACCTATACGCGTTTACTTATTATGTATAATTATTTGATGTGTATACTTATTACATACATTATGTATATGTATTATGTATGCTTATTACATACATTATGTAAAGTATTACGTATGCTGTTATGTATACTTATTTCGTAACTTATTATGTATTCTGTATACGTATACTATTATGGATACTTATTATGTACAATATGTATTATACTTATTACATACATTATGTATACTTATTATGCAATATGTATACATAATATATAATATTATACAATATGTATACTTTACATATATTATGCATACTTATTAAATACATTATGTATACTATTATGTATATTTATATGTTTAGTCAATAAATATATAAATCTATATTTTGCATTTAATTTAAGCCTCGATTAAAGACTTTAAAATTAAAATTTTAAACTATTTCCATCTGATTTGCTGGACGACCCAAAAAGGAAAATATAGACCAGGTGGAAAGAAAGTATTTTAAGATATGTATTAATGTACCCTTTTCTTAATTCTATTTATTTTAGTTTGCACAGTGGGCAAAACTGACCCGTTTAACATAAGTGATGTCATATATCCTGCTAACCAGTCATCACCTGGTGCCTCGGCACAATTACCAAGTTCTATCTTCAGATCAGAATCAGGTAAAGAAAGTGGTGTTGGGGTCATTCAACGACGGAGTGGCCCATCCATGGCGTGATCACCCGCGAGTCGAAGCCACGCCCGGCAAGAAATGATAGTGCACCTTAGAAGCTTAAAGGCAATCACATAATAACAATGGCTTATTTACTGTAGTTGAGATTGAAATAAAATGAAATGGGGTTTAACGTCCTACTTTCCTGCACTTACTGGGTTAATGAAGACGAGCGTGTGCACAACAGTTTATTGCGTTCGCGATCGCCTACCCTCGACTACAACCATGGGTGAAGGTCCAAACATCACACTGATCTATAATTTTGATTGAAACTGTTTTCTTGACTTTGTTTTCGATGAAGCATGACTACTGAATAAGAGAATGGTAGGATCAGGGTAAGCTGAACTCTCATTTAAAGAAACATTTAAAAAGAATATGGTATAACGTGTTGGAAATCGTTGATTTCAATACGAACCAGGCCCGTAACTAGGGGGTGGGGGCCCCCACCCCTGCAAAAAGTTTCGCCCCCGCGCCCTCGTGAAAAAATTGTCGACCATAAAAACAATAGATATACATTGTCCGACAATTTTACAGCACCCTTGAGAACACTTCCCGTCCCCTCGTTATTCTGAGCTAATTATAACGGCCCTGAAAATAACTGGGTTTTTTAGTTTGGATAGGTGTGCATTAATTTTGATTGAAATAAATACTTTACTTTTTGGTTTCGGCCTTACGAAGTTTTAGAAAAATGAAATGAAATGTGGTTTAACATCTCACTCTTCTGCTCCGACTGGGCTAATGAAGACGGTAATAAGATTGATTTTACATAGACGGTTTTAATTAACTAAAGAAATTTTTTTGTTTTGTAGAATTTGAACCTATTGTTTTTTCATTGATTACATATAACAATTTGTCCAGTCTACCTGTAACAGTAAATAGGTGAGTACCAAAAACTGTATATTTCAAATACTTTCGTTTTAGTTTCTTTCCTACTTTAAGTTCATACAACAGTAAGGACTGTACCATTTGCACATTGGTGGGATGTACCGTCAAGCTCTGGTCGAAATTGTGCCATTTGTTGATTTTCACAGAAGGCGATTCTAAGCTGTACACGGCAAATGAAACTCCTATCGCGCCAACCTGTCGCCCGCTGATCTGCATGTAAACTCACTAAATGCACGTATATAATGCAGTCGATGCAAGCCGCCCGAATTTGAGCATCCTTGGATATATGCTAGATCTTATGCATTGTTAGTACAATCTGATCTATATTTCGTTTCGTTTTTTATACTTTCGATGGCCTGCACTACATGAAGATCTGACTAGATGTATTGGGAGGTCGCGACAAGGGTCATACGAGCGGTTTTTGACCCTATGACGTCAGAGACTGATTAATCAATCAACGTTGACGTTTTTTAGGGGTTTACCCACAGTACCGTGCAGAGAACGCCAAGAACTCGCCGCAACAGACAGTTTCATTTGGCTAATTCCAAACCATAGAAACGATACGAAATATAGATATGATTCGAGACAGGATTGTTCTCAAACCACCCTTACAGCAAGCTTTAACCATGACCCCTTTTGTACATTTATATAGTTTTAACAAAGGTTTGCAACTACCAAATTCATTTTCCGAACCATTATTAACACGTGTAGGGAGTTTTAAAGTGGCCACCAAGTCCTTGAAGAACAATTCTGGTGCCCATCCATTCGACATAATTTATTATGTAATATAACTGGTTAAACACATAACAAATATGATTTTAACATATTTAAAGGAGTTATTGTTACAAACGGAAGTAGAGAGCCATACATACGATTTTCAGCTCAATGACATTGTCCTTTAATACATGCATGTAATGTTTTTTTTTTTTTTTAGTAATTTAACCAGAAATGATACAGGAAGTAAGAGAACCTTTGAGATTAATTCCGATGTTTTAACTATCAGCATTTTTCCTGGCGCTGCTGACTTCGATTCTAGCAAGTTGAAGTCTGACGTCATCTTTACCTTCTCTCATATCAATGTAAGAAATCATTTTGTTAAGAATGCAACGCGCTTTGTTGAAATAACAGTTCCATTAACAGCCCTAGGAGGGCCCTTTTCCCAAAGCATTGTGTAAACTAACGGAAAAGAACTGGGTTTAATGCCATGTTAACACAATAATTCGGCCATTTTGTTTTTCATTCCCTCGCCATCCCAGACTAGAATAGAAATGAAATGAAATGGGGTTTAACGTCCTACTATTTTGTTCCTAACCTGGGCTAATGAAAACGGGCTTACGCCATACAGTGTGCTATGAGGGAAATTTTGCCCGGGCAGCGGCGCTACGGCCTACTCTTATATCGAATTCCAACTGCCAAGGGATCTTTTACGTGCACGCCAATGTGTACACGGGACCTCGGTTTTTCGTCCCATCCGAACGACTAGACAGCTGTCCTTGTCAGGCCCTCCATCCTGCATTACTGACAAGGGGAAACCACGCCGGAAATTCTTGATGAACTTTCTCGGCCACTGCAGGGATCGAACACCCGACCTCCAGGCTAGCGAGCCAGCGTCTTACCCACTTAGCCACGTGATCCCTAACGGAAAAGAACGGGGTTTAATGCCATGTTAACACAATAATTCGGCCATTTTGTTTTTCATTCCCACGCCATCCCAGACTAGAATAGACTGGATTTTAAAAATTCTGACGGTTTATTTCGGCAAACGCCAGGTTTCGAACCCGTGAAATTCAAGTCGCGATTTAACTGATCTGGTAAAATCACTGGTCAATTAAACAGAGTTGTATAATTTGATTTACATGAAACTAATGTCTACCTGTGTTTACTAGTTGTATGTTTAATTTATTCCAATGAGCGAGGTGCCATACCACCTTTAGTCTACCCGTTGTTATTCAAGACTGAAAGCCAATTCTAAAGTAATTTGTGAGAATCTAAAGTTTCCACTAGTTCATAACGCCTTTTGTTTCTATCCTTTAACATCGAAGTCAAGAAAGTATCTCATCAAAGTCTTTCGAATTAATCGTTTAAAAATGAAATGGAATGGGGTTTAACGTCCTAACATTCTTCACCAACTGAGTTAATGAAGACAGGTTATTCGTTTAGAGAACAACCCCCAGTCCTTATTCAGCCATATTAACACTTTGAGGCTTTAAAAAAGGGCCATATAAAAGAAAATTCTGTTTCTCAGGCAATTCTTCTCAAAAGATTTTTGTTCTGTCGTAGAATCGCTACTGTTCTAAACATCACATGTCAAGCTCTTATTGGGCCCTTCTAGCGTTTTGGTGCTTTAAAGTAATGATTCAGTGGTTGTATTTTCTATTTAAGACATCGTTGAGCAACGCTACCTGTTCCTATTGGGATATTCAAGACATGTAAGTAAAAGTAATATATTTTAAAATCCCCGCTCAACAGTAGTACAAACAAATTTTCAGTTGGAATAAAAGGTGGTTTATTCTTCATAACACTTCCGGTGATGCGATCTTTTTTCCCATTTGACCCAGCAGCTACAGAGATCTACTGGCCATGTCAAATCTCATCCCAAACTTAGGCTTCTTGTCTACAGCTAGCTCCGCCTGAGAACAGGCCCTAACCTAATTAACCGACATTTTAATTCCTACATCGACGATTTTTTTCGAAAACACTGAGTATGCGTTTAGTAATTTTTAGAAGTATTTATTTATTTCATATTGAATGAAATTAAATATGTTTATTTAGCCGCTGTTTGTATGAAAGATATCAAACTAATCAAAGCCGAATCACAAAATAGTCTTCTAATTATTCAATATGGCGGCGCCCAAGAAAGATAATTTCACAGAGGCGGTTTTGTTTGCGAAGACACATTTAGGAGTATCTAACCTTGTTTTGAAAGATAAACAGATTGAAACCCTAAAGACAGTTTACAATGGCAAAGAATGAATTGCAATATTACCCACTAGCACATATTATATAGTGCTTTTACCGGAGTGGCAAAAGTTGACATTTTGCCAATGACATGTGTTTACATAAAACATGTGCTTGATCGGGTTATTTTTACTATGTTGTGTACATAAAGCAGTAGTCCAGGCGATAAGTCCCGCCCCAAAATGATCACGTGAGCGTTTTAAATGGAGGACAACTAGGGCAGTGATCATAATCTCGAAGTATGGCGTAGATGGATCGCTGCGTGCAGTTTGTCAAATCTCTGCTATTCTTTGTAAAATTAGTATAGATAATTCTTTTATTTATTAAAGTTTGTTACTCGCTTAGAAACTATTCTGTCTAAAATAGCCGGCAAGAAATAGCCGGTGAGTATTTCCTCGCGAAAAGTGCTGAACAAAACAAAGAATATTATTCGGAATTCTGCTACTGCGTTTTGGTCCAGGCGTTTAGTCCAGATCTCCAGTTTATATCCTTGCTTTTAAATTGATTGGACCTTTAAAAGATGCATTATACACGAGCTAAAATCTGCCTATTGCAGGTCTTTCTGTAGGCCTTAAATGTTATATAAGTTATTAATTAGGCATGTATTAACTTACCAAGGCTATAATCACCTCTCGATGTCATCGGGTACGCGAGATTGTCATTGGATTTAAACACGATTGACGGTTAATGATTTAATGAAATAAATGGATAATCGAGACTTGGTTTACTATCATAACAACGGTAGCAATGACAATCGAGGCTCTGAATGATATAATTTGACTGGAATTTTCAAGATATTCCCTTTTCATTATCTTGTGTCTAACTATTACAGCGCGAACTTCCAGCTCTTTATCTAAATCTTACATGAAGTTATATTTTGTATGTTACTAGGAGTTGGAATAATGACGGCTGTGTTGTAATATCCACCAATGACACGTCGACAACCTGTTCCTGTAATCATCTCACTAACTTTGCTCTTTTGATGAAACCAACATCACCGAATACTAATGGGGTTTGTCAAAAAATTTCTTTCCTCGTTTATGCTGCTATAGGTTCCCACTATCAAGATTTGCGCTACGATTGAATTCTTGGTTTTAATCGTGGAGTAATCGCAGTGATTCTATCAGGTCTTGTCATATATTGTGGTCAGTCGTAGCAATCATGTTGATCGTATCGGAACGTATCGGAACGTAACTGCACGTACCAGATCGTGGACTCAATAGGGCCAATCCTAAATTAACGCATCGCACGACAGTTCTAGCCTAGCATTAGTTATTTATACACAATTTAAAAAAATCCCCGCTCAACAGTAGAACAAAACAAACTAAGTTTAAGACTGTTCTACTCCTGTTCATCTGTCTACTCTCTCAGCTGGCATCAGTATTTGCTCCAGTAGCTTCCCAGGTCTACCCACATGCCAAGCCTCTGCTACTGTTTTAATGGGATCTTACCGCCCCTCCACCCACCACTCGTTTAGATATTTCTGTAGTTTTACCATGGGATAAAATCCAAGCACAGCAGTGCCATATTGTTTATCTACTACTAAATAGATAAGATAAGACATCATTTCAAATACAACTATCTTCAGTTACAAAATGTGGCTGAGTTACAAAAGTGTCTATCACAGCTACTTCAGGTCTCTTGCTACTAAATGTCGCGGAGCATCGGTTCCCTGTTATGCTACCATAACTAATCACCCGATTAGATTTTATTAACCCTTGTAGGTTCACGTTATGAGAATCACATAGCAGGTATCAGGGGTCCATATGGACCCCAGTTATAATTCAAAGTTTTTACGTACAGATATATTTGAATTAAAAGGCAGCGGTTTAGTTTTTATTTGCCTTCATATTTGACAACTGAAAAACAACTAAATTATTTTACAAAAACGTTTTAGTGACATTTGGAAAAGATTTAATAATTATCACAAAATTGCTACTTTGTGTACTATGTGATAGAGAGGTTAAAATGGCAATTCACGCTTGATACAAAAACCATTGAATATCTTGAATTCATCATTTAATTTTTGGTATTTGTAACATGCAGCAGCTAAAAGAGAGAATACACTGGCATACGCAATATGGTATTAGGCAGCAAATACATTAGCAAAATCCCTACGTTGAGTTGTTTAAGTTAGGGGTCCGATTGGACCCCTTGTTATCTTCAAGCGTTGGGCCTGATTTGCATGTGACAGAACTCTGCATGTGGGAAGCAGATGAATACCGAGTTCTTCACTACGTGTAAAAATGTATCGGAGACAAAGTCACTAAATTTCAAAAAGCAGTGCCCAGTAGTTATTACACAACACTATAAAACATGTGCATGGGGTCCACGGAGACCCCACGTGCACCGACAAGGGTTAAATACTTCGAGAAGGTATTTGTTGAGTAATAAAACCTTCTAGTAGTTTATCGAGGGCTGGCCGTCCTTACCGCACGGTACAAATAAAACCTTCTAGTAGTTTATCGAGGTTCGGGTGCTTCCGGAGTCCAAAATGGCCGCTTTATATAAATGAGATTTATATAACCTAACCCTAACCCTTTTTAAAAGACTGAACTTGGATCTAATTTAGTTTTTACTTCTCTTAAAAGGGTTAGGTTTAAGAATTTGGGGGGAGAGGTTAAGTATTCCCCTAAATACTCATTTCTATAAAGCGGCCTTTTGGTATGAGTTCTGGCTTGTTCTGGAATTTGTTGCTTCTAGTGGTGATAATATTTGTACCGTGCGGTAAGGACGGCCAGCCCTCGATAAACTACTAGAAGGTTTTATTACTCAACAAATACCTTCTCGAAGTATGTAATAAAATCTAATCGGGTGAACTAATAATGTTCTTGTCCATGTTCATTCTGTAGGTCGGTGATCATGGAACTGGCTTACTAACCAGGAGGTCCAGGTTCCATCCCAGTGTTGGCAAAAAAGTTCCAGAGATTTTCTAGTCTGGTATCTCTTTTTCAGTAGTGCAGGTGGGGGTGGGTCGGATAAGTCACGAAATCGTTAAAGTTCCCCTAAAAATTAAAAGTTGAAATGAAAGTGAAGCTGTCAGAAAATATCTGCATTCAAGAACCACATTGTTAGTAAAAGCATCATCATCATCATCATCTGATATTATTATTATTATTATTATTACAGGGTGATAGATCAACACTATCAACGATAACTCTGATAGGGTGTACTATATCTATATTCTGTCTGCTGTTGACAGTTTTAACCTACGCTTTTGTCTGGAGGTAAGTCACTTCTACTATGAACTGGTTTTCACTGATCTCTTTTTTTCCGGCGTGGTTCCCCCTCGTCAGTGTTGCAGGACGGAGGGCATGACAAGGACAGCTGTCTAGTCGTTCGGATGGGATGAAAAACCGAAATCCCGTGTACACATTGGCGTGCACGTAAAAGATCCTTTGATAGTTGGAATTCGATTTAAGAGTAGGCCGTAGTGCCGCTGTCCGGGCAAAATTTCCCTTATTATATATAGCACAATGTATGGCGTATGCCCGTCTTCATTAGTTCAGTTCAGAGCAGAACAGTAGGACGTTAAACCCCATTTCATTTCATTTCATTTTCACTGATCTGTCTACTTATTCATCGCAATACTTTTGGAATTATCTGTATTTTAGTGAACATTCTTGTTATTAATCATCATTAAGCCAAAGTCCCTTTTTTATAGGGGCTCTATATTGGGGGGTTACCTGTTTGCTTTGACCTTTCGTGTTCTTTATTATCATTGAGCTAAAATACCTGTTTTATAGGGGCCGTACTTTTGGGATTATCCGTGGTTCTCTGACTTTTCTTGTTGTTCATCGTTACTGAACAAGAATCCTTGTTTAATTGGGGTGGCTAAGAGGGTAAGATGCTGGCTCGCTAGCCTGGATGTCGCGGGTTCGCTCCCGCTGTTGGCTGAGAAAGGTCCTCGGGATTTTTTTTACGTGGTTTCCTCTTGTCAGTGGTACAGGACAGAGGGCCTGACATGGACAGCTCTCGAGTCGTTCAGACGATAAGAAAAACCGAGGTCCCGTGTGCACATTGGCGTGCACGTAAAGATCCCTTGGCAGTTCGAATTCGATATAAGAGTAGGCTAGGCAAAATTTTCCTCAGCACGCTGTAAGACTAGTCGTCACGCTCCTGTCCGGGCAAAATTTTCCTCAGCACACTGTATGATGGTGTATACCCGTCTTCATTAGCCCAGTCGAAACAAGACAGTGGGACGTTAAACATCATTTCATTTCATTCTCTATAAGGAGTTCACATAGCTAAAACCAATTTATTTATTTGCCATGATGATATGATGTTTATTTTGTTTATATTTGTAGGTACGTGAAGTCAGATAGAGCTATAGCTTTAGTAAATCTTTGTATAGCTTTAATAGTAATATTTTTGTTTATATTTGTAGGTACGTGAAGTCAGATAGAGCTATATTATTAGTAAATCTTTGTATAGCTCTAATGATGGCTTTAGTAATATTTTTATTTGGTGTCGACGAAACATCCAACCAGGTAAACAGTCTTACTGATCAATATCCATAATGCTAGGGCCCCCCTGTCCTGTGATGTCGGGGGTGGATCCGGAGGAGGGGGGGGGGTCCAAACCTCACCCTGCTCAGCTACATATAACAATATTGTAAAACAACACTTTATGAGAAAAGTGCAACGGTTGTGTGCTTTATCCTTTATTATCAGATGGTAGGATGCGATTGGCATTCAAAGCGTGAAATTTTAAAAATTGACATCAAACGGGGTGTTGAATTTCTCTCTTTAAAAAGCTCAATGTGTATGTATACCTACGTAATTAAGAGACGATGGTAGCATCATGCATTGTCAACTGTCAAATTTCCTTATACGGAGCCTGGCAAACCCCCTGGATCCGCCTCTGAATGCGTTACGATGGGATTGTTCCTATTGAATCCACGATCTGGTACGTACAGATACATTGGGATACGTATCGATACGATCAACACGATTGCAACGACTGACCTCAATATATGATAAGACCTGATAGGATTACCACGATTACTCCACGATTAAAACCACGATTTCAATCGTATCGTTATAGTAGCAACCTAGCGTAACATCAACATGTGAACAGAAATGAAGAGTCCTGGGTAAGAACGATCTAAGTCACATTTTTGTCTTTTCGCCTAAAAGGCAAAATAGACTTTTGGACAAGAATGCTTGACGCGAACAGAACAACGAGTGGGTTTAATTATAACTTCAAAATGATGTTTAATACGAATCATAATTACAAGTAGAACAACTGACTTCTACTTTTCAGTCAAATTAAGGTCAAATAAATACGATGGACTTGTATTTGTCCGGGAGTCCATTTCAGACGGGCATTGGTTCAATGTGACTCCGATCGTTTTTACCTGAAATTGATTGTTCCACAGAAAGCTTATACAATTTGCTACCAGATGATGCCATATAACAAATATATATTATTGGTATTTTTCAGGCTGTGTGTAAGGTTATAGCTGTTGGGCTGCATTATTTCTACCTGGTTGTGTTTTTTCTCATGTTGTCTGAAGGTGTTGAGGTACTCGTCAGTATTGTTAAAGTATTTTCAAGTCGATCAAAACTTCGTGAATTACTTGTAGTAGGTTGGGGTAAGTAAAAATTTACACCAAATATTGATTCCTATGTGTCTTATTCCCCATCGGGTGGGGGTGGGTGGATGGCTGAATGGTTAGCACGTGCGCGCTGTATCATAAAGCCTGTCATTGAGTCAACTGGCGTGGTTAAGAATCCCTGGTGGTACGTGACAAGGAGTTAGGGTCGGCTGTCCAACCTCGTGGGTTTTCTCTGGGTCCTCCGGTTTCCTCCCACTGCTAAAGACCCCTACGCGCAAGCGAATTACTGAAATAAAATTAAATCATATGTTAGTCTCGAAATGACCTAGTTTGTGTCGAGTGGACTTTAAACCCCGTTTCTCTCTCCCTCTCGGCTATGAAGACGGCTATGCGCCACATAATTATTTAAAAGGTAATTGTTTCCAGAACAGCGGCGCTACGGCCAACTGTCGGTGGTTCTTTTACGTGCATGTCAATGTGTATACGGTTTTGGTCCGACACTCATTGCCGTTTGATTATTGTGATTATAAGAGATAATTTATTTATTTGTAGGCGTACCTGTTATTATAGTATGTATATCAATGGGTGTTACTCAACTAGAAGGATATGGAAACCAAGATTTGTAAGTATACAAAATACACCTTGATATTAAATCGGGGAGATCTTTAATATTACTAATCATAAAAAAACGATCAACATTAACAAAAACATTTAACATTATTGGGAGATGCTAATTGTAGGCCGGTTGGGGAGACTCAGGTATTTCCGAAGTCCAAAATGGCCGCTTCATGAGTATTTTGAGGAAGTATTTAGGCGAATACTAACTCGAACTCTAACCTTAACGCTTTTAAAAGGGGTAATAGGTAAATTGGACCCAAGTTTAGTCTTCTAAAAAGGGTTAGGGTTAGGGTTAGGGTTAGTATTCCGCCAAATTCTCATTTATATAAAGCTGCCTACAATTAGCATCTCGCTCATTTACTAATTAATTAATTGGCGTCCATAATGTTTGACCAATTATTCTTAGCATAAGGTTGACAGAAACAAAACCGCATCTTCTGTTTATTTCTTTCTGGTCAAATTTGAAATGATATATGGAAACAATAATATAAATATTTTAATTTTTTTTAAATCTGAACTGAATGTATATGTTTTGATAGAGGTTAGATGTTGTTTGAAGTGGGCTTATATTTTTACTTGCTGGCTATCACTGAACTTATAACTTATATTTTATATTATATTTTAGTTGTTTGTGAACTGACTTTTTGTTTTTTAATTGATGGTTTTCTGTGAAATGAGTGTATATTCTATTTTTGTCTTTGGATGTATGTGATTATATATTTTTGTTTATGTATATATTTTTTTAATTGTTGAACTGAGTTTATATTTTTGTTTATATTGTTATTCTTGGTTCAGCTGAGTTTATATTTTTGTTTATATCGTTATTCTTGGTTGAACTGAGCTTATATTTTTGTTTATAGTTTTATTCTTGGTTGAACTGAGTTTATATTTTTGTTTATAGTTTTATTCTTGGTTGAACTGAGTTTATATTTTGTATTATTTTATTATAGTTTAGTTGTTGGTTGAACTGAGTTTATATTTTGTATTATTTTATTATAGTTTAGTTGTTGGTTGAACTGAGTTTATATTGTGTATTATTTTATTATAGTTTAGTTGTTGGTTGAACTGAGTTTATATTTTGTATTATTTTATTATATAGTTTTATTCTTGGTTGAACTGAGTTTATATTTTTGTTTATAGTTTTATTCTTGGTTGAACTGAGTTTATATTTTGTATTATTTTATTATAGTTTAGTTGTTGGTTGAACTGAGTTTATATTTTGTATTATTTTATTATAGTTTATATTTTGTTTATATTTTGTATTATTTTATTATATTTTAGTTGTTGGTTATCTGTAAATGGTGGATTAATCTGGGCGTTTATAGCACCAGCCCTTCTTGTTATTGTGGTAAATATTTTAAACTCATGGTTTCTTACACGATCATTCCTCGAATAAGACTCTTCTTGTGAACCATTATCCTAGTACAGAGTTTCGAATCCCCGGTTGTACATGACAAGGAGTAGTGTCGCCTGTCCAACCTTGTGGGCTTTCTTCCCACTGCTAAAGACCCCTACAGTGACAAGAGGGTTAAACAGACAGGGAATCACTCCGCCAACAACAGAAGCCAATAACAGAAACGAAGGCGGGATCTGCTAAATAATGAGCTAGAGCCTACGAGCCATCGTGGTCCTCTTATTCTAGGTTCCTACCTCAATTAAGACCTTTTAGGATCACCACGATTATTCCACGATTAAAACCACATGTTTTATCGCAGCACGAATCGTGATAGTGGAATTCTAGCATTAAGATCTTGAAGATGTTGAAAAGTATGTATTCGGGATAATACTGGGAAAAGCGGTGTTATTATTACACACACCGATCCCCTTTAATACAATTAATTTAAGATATGTTTAAGATTTATCAAAAGTTTCAGCAAACACCAAAGCCTAATATTATTGTGTTTGTTTTATAATTTCAGATAAATTTTATTATAGTAGTTAAAATAACCCACGCCTTGTTACAGACTAGAGTTATGATCAATAAAGATGTCAGAGTAAGAGCTAAGTACGTATAAAATGTTATATATAATAATAAACGTCTGGTCATGTGTGAAAGGCAAATTGTTCCAGAACGGCAGCGTTTCGACCAACTGTTGCGTGCTGTCAAAAAGTACATGTGGGAAACCCACTACCCGTCGTCGAATTCCAACTGTCAAGGGTTCTTTTTCGTGCACCTCGGCTTTTTGCCCATATGGGTTTCCGAATCGCTAAATGTCACTTAAAGATTATTATTTTTGACGTTTTGAGTTTCAATTGCCACCATATTGTGTGTACTGTGTTGTGTTTTGTTTTTAAATTATCAGTTATGTTGTAAATTCCAGAGCTGCTTTACGAAGTATTTGTATTTTGTTACCAATAATGGGCGTGTCCTGGATATTTGGTATTTTAGCCGTTAATGAAGATTTAATAGCATTTGATTATATTTTTACTGTTTTAAACACATTACAAGTAAGTTTTTACATTATTACAGGTTCTTGGACCAATTCGCGATACTCGTCACGTTGTAGTTCTTCTTGTGCTAGTTAGCACTTGCGCGTTGTATCATAAGAACTGTCATTGAGTCAACTGGCGTGATCGCCTGTCCAACCTCTTGGGTTTTCTCCGGGTCCTCCGGTTTCCTCCTACTACTAAAAACCCTACGCGCTAACGAATTATTGAAAGAAAATTGAACCATATATGTTAGTCCCGAAATGACCTAGTTTGTGTCGAGTGGACGTTAAACCCCATTCATCACTCTCTTCTTCTTGCGGATCCATTGACTGAGTTCGATTATTGATAAGACCTCATAATTCCAAGATGGCGGCGATCACGTCATGCGCGATTATTGATTTGACTTTACAATTCCAAGATGGCGATGAACACGTCATGCCTGGTGCCTGGTGGGCCATATGGTACCATCGTACTTGTACTGGAACAAGATGAGTAACGCTTCTTGGGACCAAAATTCTTCATATCACTTTAGGTTTAGTTTTATGGATAGTCATAACAAGTACACGGGATGGCCTCGATTTTCCGTACCACCCGAATGACTAGACACATTGTCCTTGTTAGGCCTGTAGGAGAAAACAGGCTGGAAAATAAAGCCCAGGACCTTTAAGTTAATGAGTCAGGGCCATAGTCACTGAGCCACCGTTTATGACTGATGAGAAATGAAATGGGGTTTAACGTCCTACTGTTTTGCAACTAAACTGGGCTAATGAAGACGGGCATATACAGTGTGCTATGAGGGAAATTGTGCTCGGGCAGCGGCGCTACGGCCTTTTCGTATATCGAATTCCAACTGCCAGGGGATCTTTTAAGTGTATGCCAATTTGTACACGGGACCTCTGTTTTTCGTCCCATCCGAACGACTAGACAGCTGTCCTTGTCAGGCCCTCCGTCCTGCATCACTGACAAGGGGAAACCACGCCGGAAAATCTGGATGAACTTTCTCGACCAATGCAGGGATCGAACACCCGACCTCCAGTCTAGCGAGCCAGCGTCTTACCCACTTAGCCACGTGATCCCCCATGACTGATGAGAGCCAGGGCCAGAAACGGTGGCTCGGTGACTATGACTGATGAGAGCCAGGACCATAGTCACCGAGCCACCGTTTCTGACTGATGAGAGCCAGGGCCATAGTCACCTAGCCACCGTTTCTGACTGATGAGAGCCAGGGCCATAGTCACCGAGCCACCGTTTCTGACTGATGAGAGCCAGGACCATAGTCACCGAGCCACCGTATACCCCCTCTTTTTGATTTCTGACTGATGAGTTGTATCTTATTATTCTATATATATATATTTATATCTATTTTTCAGGGATTGTTTATATTCATTTTCCACTGTATTATCAACCGAAAGGTGAGAAGGTTTACTGATAAAAACAAATTTAAAAAATAAAAAAAAAATAAAATTTTTTTTGTTAAATTGTATAGCCGTCTTAAAAATAAAAGGTAAAAATAAATTCAATAAAGAAAATTTCATATCGCTTTCAAGTGTTTATTATGATTTTAAATTTTGTATGATTCAGGTGCGTGATGGATTGGCCAATCGAAGACGTCGATACAGGAGTCGCCATACTGATCTTTCGGCACCAAATACGGTAGGTCTGATGTTTTTCTCTATTCATGTGATATCAAGAAGTAAAGCCTTTTGATGCTTCCGCTAACTACTCGCACGATGCTGTATATTAGAAAAGTTATTTGATCTATGCTTGTCCGAATTAAAGATACATTATGGGAGATTAGATAAAGAGTTGACAGTTCTCACTATAATAGTTAAAAAATAGATAACGTAA